GAGGACGCGTTTGACACCCTCTTTCTACGCGACGTTAGCCTCCCGTTGGCGCGGTTCGATGCGACATTACGCGTGGATACATCTGCCGCTTTGCCAATTGCGGACCTGCGCGCGTCTCAGTTGGACCATTCGTCCCAGATCAACGCCCTCGTACATGCCATCCAATCAGCTACGACGCACGCCCTCGCCACGCGGGCGAAGACTGTCGCAGTCCTGCAGACCCCGCCCCCTGAATGGGAGCTGACGGCGGACCGACCTTTGTCGACCGCCACAATCGACATTGGCATTATCTTCGAGCCCGGTCAGTTTGCCAGGCTCGTCGACCACGGCCCGCCTGCAGACGACACTGAAGGTGCATCCGCTTTCCGAGAGTTCTGGGGGGACAAGTCCGAGCTCCGGAGGTTCAAAGATGGGAGCATCACAGAATGCGTCGTGTGGGACGCCGACTCACACGAGGATCGAACGAACATTCCATCCCGGCTGGTGGCCTATATTCTAGGGCGACACTTCCGCATTGCCGCGAGCTCAATCACACTTTACCAGGCGATGTTCGACCCGTTATTGCAGCTGCCAGCAAGTGCAGTGCAAGCCATCACCGGATCCTCCCCTAGCGACGTCAGCTTCAGGACTGTTCTTCAGACTTACGATCACCTAGTTCGCGAGCTGAAGGCGGTGCAAGACTTCCCTCTTTCTCTCCTGAACGTCACTGCGGCCGCTGATGGTCTCCGACACACGAGCACGTTTCCACCGCTTATAGTGGACATATCTCGTGCATCTTCCCTTCCTGACTGCCTTAGATACATACCCGCACAGGAGATCATTCTTGAGTTTGAAGCATCTACGAAGTGGCCAGACGATCTCGAAGCCGACCAGAAGATCAAACTTGCTTTCTTCGAAGAGATCGCTGAGAAGCTTAAGCAGCAACTAGCTGGTGCGCAGGTTAACGTCGCATTGGATCCTCCGCCTGCGTCGATGATTGAGGACAATTGTTACCTAGAGATCATCATGCCGAACGGCATCGCGTTCCACGCCAGAATCTACCACAACCGTGAACGCACGCTTTTGGAGCGATCGATTGTGGACCGTGCAACATCCGAAAGCTCTCGCAAACAGGCAATAGGGGTCCTCCAACGGTTCAATACGCAATTCGTTGAAAAGCCCAGGCATCACGCAGCAATCGCGACGTTACACCACAAGTTCTCGGCGTATTCACAGACGGTAAGGTTAGCCAAGCGTTGGCTTTCCGCCCATCTACTGGCATGTCATGTGCCTTCCGAGCTGGTAGAATTGGTGTGTGCACACCTATTTTTGTCTCCTGGACCCTTCAGCCCTCCTAGGAGTCTGTTCGATGCCTTCATACGACTCCTTCACTTGCTCGGCACGTGGAAGTGGACCCAAGATCCCTTGCTGGTGCCATTGTATGCGTCGAAGGATGCTGAAAACGACGATCGAATCATTTTCCCTAAGGAGAAATGCGATGCTGCATTGGAGGCTTTCACGGCAGCCCGGTCAACGGATCCCAGCATGTCTAGCCGTGCGTGGTTCGTTGCGACAGAGGAGGATATACATGGCCTGGCTTGGGGAAGGGATGCACCCTCGGCGCTGATCTGCCGCCGCATCACTCAGCTCGCGAAGACTTGCTATCGCTATGTCGAGGCCGCATTCGACGCCAACAGTCTACAAGCATACGTATGTCGCGTTGAACATTTAGTTCATGCATCCTCTGACCCTGCTGGATAGGCTCTGTTCTCCCCTTCTTATGAGGATTACGACTTCGTTTTGGATCTTGAGTCCACCATCGTTCCGACATTATACCAAGGGCTGCTCGCAGATGAGGAGATTTGGTTGACCAGGATGAAGTTCCGCAACCTACCTAGTCAAGAATTGTCCGTTTATGGACCTGCGGTCAGAGCCAATCTCGATCCCGCCGATCTTTTCTTCCGCGATCTTCAGGTACGTTGATGATATCGACGGGAGAAGTGAAGTTGACTCTGCATTAGCGCACATACGGCGATGCTTGCGTTTTCTTTTACAACCCGCTGGGAGGCACCAAGATCGCCGGCATTTGGAACCCTGCAGTTTTGAAACCCACCGCGTTCAAGGTATTGCTTGGCTATTCCAGCACACCGCACATTGTGGCGAAGGCCGACGGCACGGTGAATGTGTCCCACAACGAGACGAGCACCTCGAAGCCTCTCGTCGCGTTGAACACGGACGCGCTTCTTAATGAGATTGCCGCCTTGGGTTGTGGTCTGATCACCGCGGTGTCTACAGCGCAGACACGGCATCCAGCTTCTCTTCCACCGCAATTGTAATATCCCAACGGCCCCTTTTGCATATTCCGATGATGTTTCTTGATTTCCACGTTTATTATGAGCCATTTCTCCGACCGGCACTTGAAGTCCGGATTTTGTCGAATTGCGAACGGTGGAATCGTGATCGCGTGACCGAATTGTGCGGATGCAGAGATGTACCCTGCAAGTGCCGGGCCGGCGCATCGGGCGATCTCGGTCGAAGCTGGCCTCTATTATTATCGCTGGCTCATTGGTCCTTTTTATCACGGAGGGACCCCCACTCGGAGGCCGGCTGCTCGGGGCGATGGAGGTCCCATCGACTCATAGACTTACTCTGGAACATGTGGGGATCCCGACTAAGGCCGTCTGCCGTCCGCGCCTCCGTGGCCGGCGTGGGTCGGCCAACAAGCACGAATGGCTGGACCACTGCTTGCCGGACAGCGCACACGCACCTTGCTTTCCTTTCCTTCGCGTTGGCACCCCGGGTCTCGCCATCGGTCGCGCGTCCTAGTTCTGTCGACTGAATCTGTAGCATGGTGCATGCCAGGTCCCCCTCCCCTCTCAGTCCCGGCGAAACGACCGTAGCGACCGAAGATGGCATTCTCGCTGCTGCGCGTGAGATACGGGAGGAGGAAGAGGACGAGACACCTGGGGAGAAGGCAGAGGAGGCACGCGTCGAGAGGGAGAGGCCGTATTCCAGTGCGCTCGTACTTTCACTCTAGCTGGATGAAGTCACTGATCATGGCGGCTCCCAGTCTTCAAGCCCTGGGAGAAGTGGTTCATCGTCTTCATGACATCCATGGCTGGCATCTTCTCTCCGCTCAGCGCAAACATATATTTTCCCAGTATACCGGTCCTAGCCGATGTTCGTATGCTCTCGGAGTTCCCGTCTCTCGCTTAAACCCTGTACAGGCCTTCAGCGTCCCAATAGAATCCATCAACGTGACAGTAACAGTGTACATGATCTTGCAGGGCATCTCGCCGATTCTATGGGGCAGTCTCGCCGACTCCTCCATATGCGGCCGCCGACCCGTCTACCTCTCCTGCCTCCTCTTGTTCTGCATTACATGTGTCGGCCTCGCTGTCACTCCGACAAGCATGTACTGGCTGCTTCTTCTCATGCGTTGTCTTCAGGCAGCCGGTTGTGCAAGCGTGATTGCCCTGGGTAAGCCAGCGAAGTGATTTGGACCCCTTTCTCATGTATGCGTAGGTGCCGGCACCATCATGGACATCGCGGCTCGGGCCGAGCGAGGGACTTACTTGGGCGTGTCTGCATTGGGTCCAATGATTGGTCCGGCGCTCGGTCCCGTCGCGGGCGGTCTGCTGGCAGGTGAACTAGGTTGGCGGTAAGTATGATTACCCTAGCCCGCGCCTAGCGAACCACTGACGTATGATCAGATGGGTCTTTTGGTTCATGTGTATAGCGTGTGGCTTCGTGCTCGTGCTCGAATTCATCTTCCTTCCGGAGACGCTGCGGGCCATCGTTGGCGACGGCTCCATCGCGCCGCCTAGACTCAACAGGCCTCTGGTTCCCATCCTCGGCAGAAGTCGCACGAATCAGGAACGATCGGTCGCCAAGGCGGAGGCCTCTCGCGCCAATACCCCCCTCGATACACTGAAGCTACTGAGAAACATAGACTTGACCATCATTCTCGCGACAACGGCCATACCGTATTCCGTATTCTACGCGATCATAACCTCGACCTCGCCGGTCTTTCTGGATGTGTTCCCTTGGCTAACAGAAGTCGATCTCGGTCTCTGTTTCCTCGCTAATGGCATCGGAAGCCTCGTCGGGAGCATAACGAGTGGGCGACTTTTGGATTGGGACTGGGCTCGGGCCAAGCGACACGCCAAAGAGAAAGGCGTAACCGAATATGACTATGTCGAACATGCCAGGCTGAGAACATCACCCTTCTACTGGATCATGTTTGTCCTCTTCACAATCGCGTACGGTCAGTTGGCTTCTCTGCTCGCCGGACTCCACCCGGGCTGACCGAATTTCATTCAGGTTGGACAGCTGCATTCCGCGTGCACATTGCAGCACTTCTTGTTTTCCAGTTTTTCGGTGGGTTCTCATGCTGCTTGTATCTCTGTTACTGACCTATACCAGCGGGATGGGCGTTGTCCGGAATCTTCACCTCAAATCGTACACTTCTCTGTCTCCTTTTCGTTCATCGGACTGACGTCTGACAGAAACTCTGATGATGGATCTCTTTCCTGGGAGAGGTGCCTCCGTGACCGCTTGCGTAAGTGGCTTTGCGTGGATTTATCCCGATTGTAATCTTGACAACCGCGCAGAACAACCTGGTCCGCTGCCTGACGGGTTCCGTGGTCGTTTCCGTCGTTGACTTTAGCATCACCAACATTGGCGCTGGATGGACATTCACAATAATGGGCTTGGCAACGGCGGCAACAGCCTGGCCACTCACGTTTATCGAGTGGAAGTATGGTAAGGGATGGAGGAAGCAGCGGGAAGCGAGACAGGCCAAGGGAGGCGACTAGGACCTAAACGAATTGCTCACGGCGCTATCCGCATTTGTATCATAATACGCAATGGAGAATCGGATGCGAAGTTGTCGCATTGCCTTGGATTTCTGGACTTATGGATATGTCAGTAATCAGTAAAGAACGATGGGGCAGGTTCCATTCCCGCATTGGCGGAGGTGATGTATGAGTTATCTCAGTCAGCGAACGCAGAAATTATGTGCCCATATGGTCTAGCGGTAAGATCCCCCGTTCGGGCTGTCAAGTCCTCCGCTTTGCGGACAATATTCGGGGGGGTCCTGAGTTCAATCCTCAGTGTGGGCCCAATTAACTTTTTTTGGGTCCCGCGTTCAGAGTCATATGAAAATGCTGAGCCTAACCCTACATCAGTAAAAACCAGCCTCGTCTATGGTGGCTATGTAGCTCATATAGGGGTCCTAGCTCCCATTGCCATGCCCCCTTTACATAGCAGCGCGTCCGGTACTTTGCTCACCTTCACAAGTGTAAGGACTCCAACATCCACTGAGGAGACGTAAGGGTCATATGTCCCCTGCACGTCGGCAGTGGTCAAAACAGTACTGCGCTGCTGTAGACGTCAGAATTGTATCTGCAAAAGTTCCCCATAGCGTCCATAGCACTCATAGGGACCCCTGCTATCAGGGTCCCGCGGTTTTTACAGATGTACCTACCTCGGATTGTAGGCAGGCGACCCCCACATTATTCCCTGGTTCGAACCCGGGTGCGGGCCTTATTGCCTTTTCTGACATGTCTAGAGCTGAATTGAATGCGAATCGCATCAGAAGCAAGGTGGAAAAGCGTCGGAACTTACCTTGAGCGCGAAAATTTTCTGGTTCCGTCAAGACCCTGGGCACGATCACGTGAGCCGGGTTGGCTGAGGGCCCGAGCGGTCAGGGTCCACTTTTTGAAGCAACGAGTCAGTGCGACTTTCTGCCGCCGGCGGATGTCTTTGCCTGCCACGCCTACTTAACCTCTCTCGCTGGCCACCGTCCCCCCCAGCGCTCGCAATGACCGACAGTCGCAAGCCGGACCTGTACAAGGTCTCCATCCTGGGCAAGGAGTCGATTCACTGCGGCTTCCACCTCATCCCCTACATCGCGCACACGGTGCTGACAACCCTGCCCTCGTCGACCTATGTGCTCGTTACCGACACCCGGGTTGCAAAGTTCCACCTGAGCGCGTTCGAGGCCGCGTTCAACGCCGAACTGGGAACGATTGCCGTCGAGAAGCGCCCCAGGTTCCTGAGCCATCTCATCCCGCCCGGCGAGACGTCAAAGTCCAGGGAGGGCAAGGCGGAGATTGAGGACTTTCTGCTCGCTAATGCCTGCACGCGAGACACGCTCATTCTCGCGCTCGGTGGGGGTGTCGTCGGCGATCTGGTCGGGTTTGTCGCAGCAACCTTGTGAGTGGCACCCCTCCGCCAGCGAACGACCCTGACCGCTGCAGCATGCGCGGAGTCCGCTTCGTGCAGATCCCCACGACACTGCTCGCCATGGTCGACTCGAGCGTCGGTGGAAAGACCGCCATCGACACGCCGCATGGAAAGAACCTCGTCGGTGCCTTTTGGCAACCAGAGTATATCTTCATAGACGCTGCCTTCCTGGAGACTCTGCCCATCCGAGAGTTTTCAAACGGCATGGCCGAGGTCGTCAAGACAGCGGCCATCTGGGACGAGAACGAGTTTGCGACGCTCGAGTCGCGCGCTGTGGACATTACGTCTGCCATTCAGATTGAGTCGGCAAAGAACTCGCACGCGGGCCGTGTCGTCTCCACCCGCTCCGAGTCTCAGAAGCTCTTGCTGTCGGTGATCGTCGGGTCGATTTCCGTAAAGGCCCACATTGTCACGATTGACGAGCGCGAGACCGGCTTGCGCAACTTGGTCAACTTTGGGCATACCATCGGCCATGCCATAGAGGCTATACTGACGCCGGCCGTCCTGCACGGAGAATGTGTCAGCATCGGTATGATGTTCGAGGCCGAAGTCGCTCGCCAAATGGGCGTCCTCAGCCAGGTCGCCGTTGGCAGGCTCTCGCGCTGCTTAAAGGCCTACAACCTCCCAATCGCCGTCACAGACTCGCGCATCGCATCCTTGCCAGCGGCCCGTCAACTCACTGTGGACCATCTCCTCGATGTCATGAAGGTAGACAAGAAGAACAGCGGGACGGTCAAAAAGATTGTCATCCTCTCGCGCATCGGTGCGACCTACGAGCAAAAGGCAACAGCCGTGTCCGATCAGCGCATCCGGAACGTCCTTTCAGAGGCCATCACAGTTATCCCTGCTGTGCCGCGCAATACCCCTGTCAAGATGGCGACCCCCGGCAGCAAGAGCATCTCGAACCGCGCACTTGTCCTCGCGGCCCTGGGCCAAGGCACATGCCGTCTCAAGAATCTCTTGCACTCGGACGACACACAGGTCATGATGCAAGCACTGATCGATTTGCAGGTAAGTCGTCGGAGAAGTAATACGCTCGTTGGCTCAAGTGCATGCCAGGGAGCCACATTTTCGTGGGAAGACAACGGCGACACCCTCGTGGTCCAAGGGGGCGGGGGTTCTCTCGCCGTTCCGCCTGCCGGCAAAGAGATCTACCTCCAAAACGCTGGCACTGCGGCCCGTTTCTTAACCACGGTCTGCACACTCGTCAAGTCGGACAAGCAAGGGGCAGCCACCGTCATCACCGGAAACGCTCGGATGAAGCAGCGGCCATGCGGCCCGCTAGTCGACGCGCTCCGCGCCAGCGGTAACCCTATCGAGTATCGAGAGAATGCGGGGTCGTTGCCTCTGTCCATTTCGGCCACCTCGGCCGGCATGCACGGAGGCCATATTCGCTTGGCTGCGAGCATCTCCAGTCAATATGTCTCCTCCATCTTACTTTGCGCACCCTACGCCTCGTCGCCCGTCGTTCTGGAACTTGTCGGAGGCCAAGTCATCTCACAGCCGTACATCGACATGACGATCGGAGTTATGAAATCCTTCGGTATCATGGTGACCCGGGACGTTGATGCGGCGGGCAAGCATCTAGACGTCTACAGGATTCCCACCGGTCCCTATCGCAATCCCTCTGAATTCACCATCGAGTCCGATGCGAGCAGCGCCACCTATCCTTTGGCGATCGCCGCCATCACAGGCACCACATGCACCATTACTGGGATCGGATCTGCGTCACTACAGGGAGACGCCGGCTTCGCAAAGGGAGTGCTGGAAGCCATGGGGTGCAAGGTTGTCCAGACGGACAACGAGACCACCGTGACTGGTCCTCCCAGCGGCCAACTCCGTGCCATTGGCTTCGTTGACATGGAGCCAATGACTGATGCTTTCTTGACCGCATCAGTCTTGGCGGCTGTGGCCACTCAACCGCCCTATGCGGGGAGAGCGCTTGCAGACGCTCCGGTGAATACTACCCGCATCCTGGGCATCGCCAATCAGAGGGTCAAAGAATGCAACCGAATCAAGGCCATCATTGATGAACTTGGTGAGCATGCCAAAACAGGTGATATTCGTGACCTCTTACCCGCCTTCTAGCCAAGTTTGGAGTTCATACAAAGGAGCTTGATGACGGACTAGAAATCTACGGTAAACCCATCGGGGAGCTCAACCAAGGAGCAAGCATCAATTGTTATGATGACCACCGTGTCGCAATGGCGTTCAGCGTGCTTGGTACTGTTGTGGCAGGAACGGTTTTGGAAGAGAAACGCTGTGTGGCCAAAACCTGGCCGAACTGGTGGGATGATTTGGAGAACAAGGTGATCACATCTGAACATATGCAATCAACCACTCTGACACGGTTCCAGATTGGCATTTCCACCAAAGGCGTTGAGCTGCACACTTCCGCAGGGCCTTCTGTGGATCGATATCATGAGCACGGTGCTTCCGTGTTCCTGACCGGTATGCGGGGTGCTGGCAAGACGTTCATTGGCACCTTGGCGGCAGAAGCGCTGGGTTGGAAATTCACCGATGCGGATGCCGTCTTCGAATCGAAGCACGGCATGCTCGTCTCCGAGTTCGTTCGAGACAAGGGCTGGGAAGCATTTAGGGAATCTGAAAAGGCCGTATTGGACGAGCTTCTCCTCACGAGGGACAAGAAACATATCGTCAGCCTCGGAGGTGGCATTGTCGAGACGCCGTCCGCTCGCGAAGCGCTGAAGAATTATGCAAAATCCCGTGGGCCGGTGGTGCACGTCCTCAGAGAGATTGACGAGATCGTCCAGTATCTAGGAGAAGAAACGTCCAGACCAGCTTATGGCGAGGCTATTGAAGACGTATTCCGACGGAGGCAGCCATGGTACGCGGAAGTGTCGAGCCACGAATTCATCAGCCACACCGGAACTCTACAACAATCAATCCAAGTCAGCAAGAAGTCGACCAGCGATGGACATGCAGACGACATCGCTAATGGGAGAACAGTCCACACGATCCTTCCCACCAGCAGTGGTGTTCAAGCGGAGGTGAAGCGGTATTTCGAACACATAACTGGCCTTCGTCCCAACTTGGCTCCCAACGTGCAACCTGGCAAGCGATCGTACTTCTTATCCCTCACGTTTCCAGATCTGACGCCCGCTCTGCCGCTGATGGACCTACTTACCATTGGGGTGGACGCACTGGAGGTTCGCGCTGACTTGCTCTCCATGTCCGGTTTCCCGGTCACAACTCCAAGCGTCCCACCGCGAGCATATGTCGCAACCCAAGTCACAGCGATACGCCAGAGGACTGGCTTACCCATCGTGTTCACCTTACGGACCACGTCTCAAGGTGGAATGTTCCCGGATGGAGCTCAGACCGAAGCCATGGAACTGTTCGACCTGGCACTACGGCTCGGTTGCGAGTACATCGACCTCGAAACTTCGTGGCCAGAAGAGCGTATTCGCGAGTTGCATTCAAGGAAGGGCTACTCTCAAGTGATCGCATCGTGGCATGATTGGAGCGGTCGCATGAAGTGGCTCGGCTCGGAGGTCAGTCAGAAATACAAGCTGGCCGCCGAGCTGGGTGACATTGTGAAGATTGTCGGGACTGCCGGTGATATCGGGGACAACATTGATCTACTTCTCTTCGTGCGATCCCTCGGCAAGACGCCTCGCAAGCCCTTCCTTGCTATCAATATGGGAGAGCAAGGGAAGATGTCTCGCATCTTGAACTCGACCTTCAGCCCCGTGACGCATCCCCTTCTCCCGTCCCGTGCGGCCCCTGGTCAACTGTCTTTCGCTGAAATTCAAGAAGCCCTCCACCTCGTTGGGCTACTTCCAAAGCAACAATTCTACCTCTTTGGAACTCCCATAAGTCATTCGATGTCGCCCACCATACATAACACCGC